AGCTTAGAAGAATATTCTACTATTCTATTAAGAACATGTATAAAATGTAGTCAAACAAATACTAAGCTCAGCTGATGGGTACAACAATGAAGTGTACAGACAACGAACAACCACATGCCGCTTACTTGCAGCGAGGATCTTCCTCTCCCAATTCCTTTGCACACCTGCGAGAGGCCGCAAAAAGTTTGAAAAAAAAAACTCAGCGGTAGAGAACACCCCTGATAAGGGCGAGGTGCCTGGTTCAACTCCAGGCTATAACGCTATCTATTTAATATAAAATTTAATGCCCACATAGACTGCCCCACTGCTTGCCTGCTGCATGCTCAGTATCTGCTCGGTGAAGCCTGCTACACTTACTAGACAAATGAAACCCCCCATTGACTTATGCAAGCAAAACAAATTAAAACAAAATAGTTATTTATAACGAACACATAGACTTAACTACATCCATCCATGCACACCGTGTCTGGGGGTTCTATAGTACTACCTAGTGCAACATCCTAAACCCTAAACCCTAAACCCGCCACTGCATGCCACCGACGCAATCCTAAGGATGAAGTTTGAGAGGCAAATACTAAAGGACTCGAACGTGAGGTATTCACTCCCTTACCGAGAAAACATCGTATAGCGTAGTGCGCAGTGGCTCCCCTGGTTGGCTTGCAGCAGCCGCGGATCCTGAAGACAACACGCACGGTTAACTCCGAGCAACAGATCACTCAAATAGCTTGTGATGCTGCAGCCAAAAAAGCTGAAAGAAGGAAGCAGCTGCAGCATCATGTGCAGCTACAGCACCAGTTGCATTGCCAACATCACAGGACACTGTGGTCCAGTGCTCCCCCTGGCTTTGGAGAAGCTTGCAGCCGCATGTGTGGTCAGCTGCTACTGCGATGCCCTAAACCCTAAACCCCAAAGCTTGGTGGCGAAAGCCTTGCCGACTGGTGCTGCGCTGTTCTACAGAGCAAGGGTGCGCTTCCTTGTCCCAGCAAAAAGCGACGGAAAGCAGCACCACCACAACAGACAGTGCAGCAATAAATAAGAAGGCTGTTTGACAGTGGTGAGATAAATACAAAGGCATAATATATAAGTTGCTTTGCAGACCTCCGCATGCGGGTTTTGAGAAGTGAGCTCCTCAAGGTTGCGCTGGTACATCTGAACCATATCCTGTTTCGTCATTTTCTGGAGAATACTCGAAAATAAACCTTCTTTATGAACGTTAAATTGAGAAAACAAAATTGCTAACCGCACAATCAATTCACCCAACCGCTGAAACCTGTCACCTGCCACGGGGCTGCTATGACTTCATTCCGCAGCCCCGGTAGTACAGCAGCCGTGAAACTCAACGGAAGGTCTAGAATCTCGATGAAAATATCTGGGGAATTCAAATATTTGCGTTTTTTAAAATAAAGGCAATTCAAATAATTTCGGTTTACAGAACTGTAGAGTCTCGTATAAATACGCTCCGCAAAATCAAAGGAAGCCAAATGGTTACGTTTCAGTAGACCAAAGAAACTCAAATAATTACGTTAAATGCAATCAAATAAGTTCAAAAAAATCCAGTTTATAAAATCGGGGAGATTCAAGTAATAGCATCTCCTGAGAAACACTGGTGATCTGTCTTCACAGCAGCCTCGGCCAAAACGTTGTATACGCTCATCTTCATAATTCATTACCTTAAGCATTCATTCGTATATATAATTCACTTATCTTCAATATCATTTATATTTTTACTTTAGTTATCCTTGGTAGAGTTCTCGATCAATTCAAGTTACTGCACGCTGTCCTTGAGGATGTTTTGCAATGGGCTCAGCTGAAGTATACCATTGGCATCATTGTTGCAAAAATTAAGGGTTCCAGCTCCACGAGTATAACAGAAGGGTAGCCTGTGAACTAAAACGTTTAGAACGCTCGTAGGCGTAGCTTTTTCAGACGGCAGCTGAAGCTGAAGTCTCGTCAGGCGGTCAGGGACCATGTTGCGAGGGTCTTTGATCCTATTCGAGGACCATCATGCACTGTAATAAAGTCAGAGATTTCATACAATTGCTTCTACAAACGCACCTGATGAGCTCCCCTCCAGTCCCGAGGCGTCCTCGGCTCAGCAATGGCCTGGGGCTGATGGTGCATAGAGGAGGCAGCCTGACATGAGTTGCCATGCTGAGAGGGAGCCCGTCGTGCAAGCGCGGAAAATTCCCCTTTGCTGCAATCACGAACACTCTATACTACTGTTAAAAATCTCCCTGGCCCTCAATACCATGCAGCAGGAAAGGAGAAACACATGTACGAACATCGCGCACGTGAAGT